GATTTCACACGAAATCACGAGTGCGGATTCTTATGGGTTACAGGTAGATAAAGATATTTTATATCTCTCATGGCCTCCTTCGTTCCACCAAAGATCTCAATGTGACTCTTATTGCCAAAATAAGGAATACCAATGATTTCAATTGACCGGTTGTTAAGTTCCTTTATTAGGAAATTTTTTCGATGATGAATTTATTTTAATAACGTGCGTTCAAAAAATAAAAATAAAAAAATAAAAAAAATAATAAAAAAAAAACATAACTTAATTAATGTTCGTATTGTCGCATAATTAAAATCGAAGATAAATATTAAAAAAATTAAGACAAAATGTTTAAATGCTTGTTAAATGAAATTTCATGTCAACAGACATCAGCTTCAAGGAGATTAAGAACTTACGTTTGATAATTTTTTAACAACTTAAGCCTATCGATATTTCATTTCTCTATTTTATATCTTCGAAGCAATAAAAAAGTCTTGTTGCATACATGGCTTGTGCAATTCCTCCAAAACCTTAATTTAAAAACAATGCGATGAATCGTCAATAATATCGATTATTTAAATGTAATATTAAGAGTTTTGTTTTATTTTCATTTAAAGAGGGGCTCTAATATACAAGAAGGACATTGGCCTCGTGCAATTTTATTTACGTAACACGGGAAAAATATTTCGAAATAAATACCGGCAATTAGAACGGCTCTCCAATTTATATATTTCGAACACCCAAATATATTTATAAATTATCTTATAGACTACGTGACAACTTTTATTAAAACCTTTAACATAAAATCAAATCAAAAAAAAAAAAAAAAAAAAAAAAAAAAAAACATATATATATATATACACCATAGATTAATTTCGAGATTGTTGATTTTACTGCTTTCATACACCGTAATTATGATCAATGAGTGATCAAATTAAAAGGGTTTTATAATCTCTTATTGTATTAAAGAAAGATTAATTTAGATTGAATAAGAAGATATCAAACAGTAAAATTTAATTAACTCGATTAGCTTCGCTTAAGGTTTTATACATATATATATATATATATATATATATATACGTGTATGCATACGCACGCGCGCACATATAACTAATAATATGGCTTTTGTAACTGTATATATGATAATTATGCATGTAAAATTCTATAAACTAATTGTCATTTTTATTATTTATATAACAATAGGCTTTTATTATTGCAAAACTTTGCCTTTTATCCATATTTATCCATTCGTAATTTTCAGTATATTTATAAAGTATTTCCCAAATTAAATGTGCAATACTAATGTAAAATATATACTGTTAAAAATATTAAACTCGTGGTAATTTAGATGACGAGTGTAATAAATAATCTTGCTTATTATGACGATTGCGGGTGCCTAAAATTTATGTTCAATTGAATTGTAGGTATTTGTAAGGTAACCTTCATAACCTAGCGATATGAAGGTGAGTTTGAAAGCTTTCGAAATCCAAGTAGACATATTAACAAACTTAATTAATACTAAAAAAGCTTTGCAGATTATGTTTACAAAATACACATGATACATTGAAATAGAAAAATATCATTGACGGCAATGCTTAAACGACTTTGGCAATGTAATGTAGATGTTTTGCATAAATGATTCGATAGTAATGGTATTGATGTTAAAACAATATATATATATATATATATATATATATATATATATACACACGACTGTTGCAATGCTCGCGATTCGAAGTTTAATAAATAAATATAGGACAGTTTTGTTTTATTATCTATCTATCTATTTATCTCAAATCCATGATATTGCGATATTATAATAATAGCACATGGTAATCGTCTCAATGTCGCTCGGAAAAAAGTCATTAAACAAGGATAAAAGGTTAAAGAGTACGATGCTTGTACATGGGACAGAGCGTTAGCGTATCGTCGTACCTCATCGGCTCTCTTTTGTAACGCATCGAGGAGATGTCGCAGGGATGGAGGCTGATTCCGGCCTACGGAGCAAAGGAAACTCGTGAGTGGCATTGGTTAAAGGAGAATGAGATTGGACGAAAAAGATGGAGAGAAAAAAAAAAAAAAAAAAAGAGAGAAAAAGATAGGCCGATCGACTTAAAGGAGGAATCCTTTGGTAAACGAGTCGAATTCCCAGCAAAATAATGCAGATTACATGACACTTGCAGACGTCGGGCGTATACAGTGTAAAGTAAGTAGGGGCTCTCGGTGGGACACAGGTGCGCAGCAGCACCTCGACATACTTCCGACGCTCCGGACAATGTCCAGATTTGGCCATCTCCTACCGGATAATCTTTCGGCGCAAAATGCACCGATGCAACGCGATAATCCGTCCGGGGCAAGAGCATCGTCATAACGATCGTCTTACGGGTGCGTGTGAGAATCGGCCGTTGTGTGGGTGAGCGCCATTGTCTAGCCGAGGGCCGAGGGTGGTTGTCGTCGTTCGCCGAAAGGGAGAGAAGCGGCCTGGAATAACCTAGCTGACCTCCTGGAACGGATTTTCGGTGCGTCGTCGTCGTCTTCGTCGTCGTCATCGTCGTTGTCGTCCGCGTCGTGGTCGTCGTGCGCTCATTATTTGCCACTGGTAACACCGGCGTCCAAGCTCACTTTATTGGCCCGTGCGGCTAATTGGCGGTATTCGCCATTATTGCACTTATACCTATATGTCTATGCCTCGTTATTCGCGCCGAGTGCGCCCGAGCCAAGGGTTGCGAGTGTGCGTACGCCCGTACCTGCGCCCCGGTCATTGAGCCGGCCAAGGAAACGAGCGCAGACGTGCTCGCTCTCTCGCTCTCTCGCGCTTGATTATCGTAGGGGAGGTGAGGCTCGATAAACGGGACCCGAATGACAAGTCCGAGACTTGTTGCTTTCTACCTGGTAAGCTGGCCTTTTTCCGGCAGTTGCGCGGCAATAAATTTTACTCGGCTAATGATCGTGGCTTGCTGCATCTCGTTTTGAGCTTATTACGAAAACGCCTCGACTTGTTCTCTACACCCGCCCGCCCCGCCGCCGCTTCAATGCCGCCCCCCTCCCCACCCCGACACCGCGCTTCAACGCACAACGCCGCGATGGACCTAAACCAATCAACCAACAACCACACGTCTACCACACCAATATACCGATTCGAGCTTCTTTCAACGTTCGCTGAATGGAACGGCTGATGCGGGCCGGCGCTCTATTCCTTTAGCCGCGAATTCGGCGGCGTCATTTGATTAATGGGATGGTCATTTGATGCCAAACTATTATAGGCCTCGTAAAAACTTATATTTTTCCGATTACTTTTCCGAGAATCTCAATTACGTTCTCGGACATTGATAACCTCTGCTATCTGTATTTTGATAACTTGTCCCTATTTTGGATTACTCCGATTACTTCCGGAGTAGGTTCGCAGGTTCGCTTTAAAGGACTTATAAGATTTTATGGGAATGGTCCGATCAAGCAGCAATTTGTTGCTTCTACATTATTAGTCGGACTATGCTATGCTGTCGCTCTCGTTCTCATTGTTGTTACTACTGTCTACTAATCCATTTGCGAAAACAGGTCAATTATTGTAGGAAAATTGGGGACGTTTAGCCGACCGAGGGCTCCCCCAGGCACGTACAGGTTGCGTAGACGGACTTTCCACGAATTGCGGTGCACATTGGAGCATGATGGGATTTTAATGTTTCCAGTATCAAAAATTAATTAACGCCCTCAGGGTATGAGGATCTGTTGAATCGGGACGTTGGGAGGGAGACGGGCCGAGTCGCTTCCTTCGAAGTCTAAGCGACCAAAGGCCAAGTGGGAAGAGGGCAGCGCGTGGGACGTGCGTTCGCACCGATTTAGTCGAGAGGTTCGGAGAGAGCTGCCGAGCATCCGTGAGACGGCTGCGGATGAGGTGAGGAGTGGCGATGGGTCGGGTCGGGGGCGCGGAAGGTTGTTGACGGAGAGGGGGACGAAGAGGAGGGACATGAGGGGGGCAGGAGAGAGAGAGAGA